CAGAGCCCATCAGTTTTATTCCCAGCTTGAATTCCAGAATTTTTTTTTTTTTTGGAACCTATGAGTGCCCCTGTGACTGAAATTGTATCTGAAGCCACAGGACTCATTGGCTGACTCAAAAATCCGAGGATTCATTTCTTTAGTTGCTCCCCTAGGGGTGGGGATGGGGCTGGGGAGGAGCAAGATTCCAGGGCTACTCAGCAGATGTCCCTCACCGCTCTTTTCCAAAGAGATCTTTGAAAGGCTTGTTATAACTGGGGATTGGGGGGATGGGGGAACTCCTCAGGAATCATGGCTGAACCTGGGGGAAGGCAGAAAGCCCCCTGTCACTAGTGAGCTGTTACAGGGTTCTGATCATTTTGGTCCATGGGTGGTGGAGGCAGGATATGAACGCGGCTCTCTCTGCTGCCACAGCCCATAGGCACACATCGCCATTGCCCATCCCAGCATTAACAGGAGGCTTGCAGGCTGGAGGAGTGAGTTTGTAACCACTCCACACAGGTTCACAAATGGGTCAGGAAGTGACCTCAAAGGGCGGAGGGAACATTCTTTTCCTTTTCATATAAAAAGAAAGACGGGTTAAGATGGGACTTAAAATAACCTGAAAGAAAAGTCTTTCAGTCAGCATTGTCTTCACCTTTGACTCTGTGCCCCTCACCAGTCCCCAGGTAGGCACACATTTCCCCCGCCCCAGAACCCTCTTCCGTTCACTAAAAGCCATGGTGCCTTGGCCCATGAGCCCACAGTGCCACAGTTTCCCTCTCTGCAAAATGGGTGGGAATAACAGTACCTACCTCCAGGGTAACTAAGGATCAAATGAGACAATCGAGGTGAAGCAGGCATGCTAGCTCCACAACTGGGGCTGCTTTTCATCCTGTTCTTTGGAAGAAGAAAGGGCCTCCAGGGGCAGAGGGGGTACGGTCTTGGAGAGCCGGGTTCAAGTCCCAGGTCTGTCATCTCTTTAGCTGTGTGATCTTCAGCGGGCCACTTCCCTTCTCTGAATCTCCCAGTTTCCCCATTACGAGACCTACCTTCAGAATATCCAGAAGAGGCACGTCTAAAGAGACAGGAAGGGCCTCCCTGGTGGCGCAAGGGGTTAAGCACCACACCATGAAGCAATCTGCAGGCCTCTGCAGCATGAGTTCGATCCCCGGCCGGCCAGGGAGCAACCCACATGGCGCAGCAGACCTCTCCTGACTCGCCCGCTGCTCCCCTCAGCAGTGTATTTCAGTTCGTCTGCCTGTTCTGTTCCCCACTCTGTCTCTGGTGAGTCGTCTCACCCCCCACGCCTCTGGCCTGTACCCCAGCTCTTGTATACATAAATAAATAAATCTTTAAAAAAAATAAAGAGACAGGAAGCAAAGGACTGTTTGCCTAGGACTGGTGGGCATGGGGATATTGGAAGGTGATGACTGAGGGGTTCAAGCTTTCTCGAGTCGTGAGAGGGTTACTGGATTGACTGTGATGATGGCTTGTTCTGTTGCCATTGAACTGTGGACTTTGGGCGGCTGAACCATGACAGAGCTCAGCCCAGCACAGCCTTTGCACGCTAACAGTGGCTTTTGCTAGTACTCATTACAGTGTCTTCCAAGCCTGGGCCTCATCTCCCTACTATCCAAGACACCAGCCATGCTGAGACCCTCCAGGCACCCCCAAGCCTTGTCCAACTCCCCCCTCCACCCCCGCAGCCAAAAATGACCCAAAAAAACCCCTAAGAGCTTTTGAGTTTTGTTTCCTTTCCCGACATTGTTCAGAGAAGTGCACGTCCCGTGGGGCAAGCTGAGTCCCAGCTGTGGGCTGGCAGGCCTCAAGGAGAGGAAGTACCACCCAGAAGGCCTCCCCGACCTTGGCAAGGCCAGGCCCTGCCTCGCAGCCCTCTGCTATTTGTTTTTTCAGCTTTATTGAGTGTAATTGACATTTGAAAAATCACGCATGAGGAATAAACACCAGAGTTTGCACATGTATCTGCACCATGTTAATACTTAAAACTCCCCTACCGTCAAGATAATAAAGACACAGTCACCTCCAAAAGTTTTTTGTCCCTTTGTTATTGCTGTCATTTTTGTGTCATTTGTGTGTATGTGTGTGATACAAATGCTTCTCAATCTGTTAAGAGGATAGAGAGCATGTTACGTATCCAGTAGTGTGTTGTTACCCAGAGGCACAATCCTGCACCGCAGAGCTGTAGAACTCACTCATTCTGGAGGATACAATCTTTGTATTGAATCAACAGGTCCCCAGACCCCCATCACTCCACCCCCTCCCCGGAAACCATCCTTCTCGTGTTGGTTCTTTAACTGCGGCGATTTTAAATGCTTCCTCGGAATCAGACAGTATTTAGTATTTGTCCTTTTGTGACTGGCTATTGCTCTTGGCATAAGATCCTCCAGGTCTATTCATACTGCCTCAGATGGCAGGAATTCCTTCTTTTTGAAGGCTGAATGCTATTCCTCCGACTGCAAATAGCACATTTTCTTTATTCATTCATCTGTGATGAACATTTGGGTTGTTTCCACGTCTCGGCTGTGTGAGTAATGTCGCAATGAGCATGGGAGTGCACATTCCTCTTGGAGATCCTGTTTTCAATTCTTCCAGGGAATTGCCAGGTTTTATATGGCAGTTCTAGTTTTCATGTTTTGAGGAACTTCCAGGCTGTTTTTCATAGTGGCTTCACAAATTTCCATCCCCACCAGCAGTGCACAAGGGGTCCCTTCTCTCCACCAACTCGCTGACACTTGTTATCTTTTGTCAGAGGCACAGATGTGAGGTGGTGCCTCATTGTGGTTTTGATTTGCATTTCCCTGAGGATGAGTGAATTCAAGCACCTTTTCATAGGTCTGTTAGCCAGTGCATGTCTTCTTCAGAGAAATGTCTGTTCAAGTCCCTTGTCCATTTTCCAGTCAGGCTATTTACTGTTTTTACCACTGAGTGGTTGGAGTCTGCCCTTTAAACTGAGGCCTGCTTGGAAAGGCCTTGGGTCTTCTGGTTTCTTTGGGTTTCTCAAGCCCCAGGTTCTGCTAGGGCTTGTTTATTCATCCAACAAACACCTGTCCAGGAAGGGTCTCAGGGAGGTAGGGGAATCATCAAAGTCCTGCCCAGCGAGTATACAGTCTAGCTAGGGGGACGCATGAAGTTGGTTCCAGAGTAGACTAACCTGGTTTGAACCCCAGTTCTACACCTCGCTATGTGCGTGGCTCTGCATGGAACGCTCCTCTGTGAAGCTCAGCTTCGGCATCACTGGACAGGGCTGCTGTGGAGGAGTGAGCCCACCAATGCATGGGCACGTCCTGGCTCCTGCTACCTGCTCCATGGGACCCCACAGGTGACACCAGTCATTGTATTATGGTGGATACAGGATGCACTGTTCCTGCTGTGCTGAGACCACTGTCTGATCAGGCTCTGAGCTTCATGTTCAGTCAAGAGAGATGGTTCAAAAGCATGAGCCACAGTGTGGAGGTGCACATGTGAATGCAGTCCAGAGAGACAGGCACACCAGGGTGAGCCCCAGCTTCCCCACTCACCTGGGTTAGATCCCAGAAAAGTGCCTCATATCTCTGAGTCCCAGTGTCCTGATCCACACTGCTGGGTTAATGGCTGCTCTGCCACATGTCCCGCCCCACAGCTACAATCCCCAAAGGGTGGTGGGGGTACGGGGCAATGTGAAATTGAAACCCATCAAGAGGATGAGGGTTCTCCCCACCTCTGCCACATTGGCAACCAGACCTGCCAAGGGAAGAAACCAGGAAGAGGAAACCTTTCCCCAACACCCCAGCACTATTCCCCTCCTCTGTTATTTACAGCATCGGGTCACAAGTCCCTGGTGCTCACAGATATAGGGTCACACAAATGGTGGATGATGGGGACAGGGTCAGCCTCCCCCAAATCATGTGTGGGGGCTGAGGGTATGTGACAAAACAGGGAAGTGGTGATCCAGGACAGGAGAAATGAGGCCTGGAGGGCACCCTGGGGTCCAGTAGCTGGTGCAGCCAGCACAGAGTATGAAAAGACCCAAGGATCTCCTTTGTTCCCACTAGAGGCCAAGCAGCCCTCTCACTTCATTCATTCATTTATTCATTCAGCAAACATAGCCAGCCCTTATCAACTCCAGACCCTGTGTATTAGTGTCCTGGCCCATGTCACGAATTTTCACAGAGTGACTTAAAACCACTGCCGTTTATTCACCCAGTGTTCTGAGGGCCAGAAGGTCAAATTCAAAGTGCTGACAATTGACAGTGGCTCGAAAGGAGCAGCTATGCCTGCCTCTCAGCTGGCTTCAGCTGCTGGCGATTCTGGGGGCTGCCATGCTCTATGTCTGCCTCCATCTTCACAAGACCCTCTTCCCTGCATCAGTGTCTCGAACCTCCCTCTCCTTTCTCTGACAAGGACACCAGTCACTGGAGTTAGGCCAGGACGATCTCAGCTGGAGAGCCTTCATTTCATTACATCTGCAAAGACTCTTATTTCCAGCTAAGGCCACATTCACGGGTTCTGGGGGTTTGGACTTAGATCTTTTAGGGCAGGTGACCTTCAACACACTGTCTATATCATCTCTTAGATAAAATGGGCAGAGTGTTTGCCGCTGGAGGAGGAGACAGGAGGAAGAGGGGTTACTACCACAGAATGGTGCCAGCAGTGTTAGAGAGCTAGACCCAGAAGCTGGAGGACTTCTCAGAGGAGGTGGCCTCAGAGCTGTGTTTTGAGGGATAGCAAAAGCTCTCTAAGAGCACCTGAGAGGGCAAAGCTTTGCTAGACCAAGACTGGTGGACAAAGGTGATCAGTCCCCATAGACATCAACTGAGTGGCTCTGTGGAGGGGGCAGAAGGATGGATCTCAGAGTGGCAGGGGGCAGAGGCTGGTGGTGGCATGAGATGGAACTGCATCATGGCTGACACCAGCTGTGCAACTGAGCATGTTTTAAATGATAAACACACGCAAAATAACACAGATAATAAACCTGTTTCAAAAGCAAGATCATTAGAGGTCAGGAGAGTGTCACTTACCTGGAAAGGTGGTGATGGGACGCAAGCAGAAGGGCGTCCTGGGGGCACAGGTAGCTTCTGTTTCTTGATAGGGCATTGGCTACACCGGGGTGTTGCATCTGTGAAAATTTAGTGAACTGTACACTTATGTACTTTTCTCTGCTTTAAGCTATGAAGCTACAAAAACATCCAAATAAAAGACAGTTGGCTAAGAATTTAAAATCTTTGCAGCTCACCAAAATCAGTAACATTTATGGAAGGATCTGTGCACAGGCTCTTTACACAGGAACCCTTCATGGTGTATATGCATTTAATCTTCATGACAAAGTTGGAAAGTTCAATTACTTTCTTGCCTATTTCACAGATGAGGAAACTGAGGCTCACAGTGTTCAAATCACAGAGGTGACCCATTCATTGGTGGCAAAGTTGGAATCTAAAGCCTGGTGACACCAAGATCTAAAGTTATTTCCATTCCCCTATCTCTCCTAGGGAATTGTCAGGGAGACATACCCAGAGATACTGGGCCTACTGAATCATAACCTCCAGGGTAGGGGCTGGGGAACCTGCATTTTAGAACCCACCACTCCACCCCATGATTCATTTACACCCTCTATTATGAACCAGTGCCTTCCGCTGAAACAACAGGGAAGAACAGGTAAAAGCAGTCTGGGTACTTTGGGCAGATATAGGAAGGTATCAACCATAAAAATAGGGAGATTTTGTTGAAGACTCCATTCCAGGAAGACCACTTCATAATGAGTTATTGGGAAAGGTAGCACTGACTAATGTTCTGCCCTTGGGGTCTCAGACAAATTCTCCTTAAACACCAATGCATTTGATCACATACTCAGCATGCAAGAATCTACTAAGCAGCTGCCACTCTAGGCTATGAAGGTAAGGAGAGGGAAGATTCATTCCCTACCCAGAGGTTACAGCTGGTGGGAGGACCTGCATGTAAAAATACCATTACACACCTGTTAAAATAGCTAAACTATATAGCAGTACTATTTACATTAGCTAAGCTATGGAAACAACCCAAATGCCCAAAACTAGATGACTGGATCAAGATGATGTGGTCCATATACACCATGGAATATTACTCAGCATTCAAAAAAGATAAACACATGCAGTTTGCAGCAACATGGATGGAGCTAGAAGGGATCATGCTCAGCAAAATAAGTCAGAAAAAAACAAGAAAAATACTGGATGGTCTCACTCATAGCAGGAATTTAAAAAACCTAAATAAGAGACCAGGAAAAAGATTAATTAATACAAAGTAAAAATCAAAATCAACAAGCAACTATAAACCAGAGACACACTGGGGGGGGAGGGGCCGGGGGTGAAGGGGCAGGGAGAGGAAGGATTAGGGTCAAAATAAGGTGGGGTGCAATTATATGGGGAATATAACCAAAATGAAAATGCACACATTGTGCAAAAATGAAAAATAATGTAAGAATTATATGAAATAAAATATTTTTTTAAAAAATAGCTAAACTAAAAACCATGGACTATGCCCAGCACTGGAGAGCATGTGGCAGTAACGGGAAATGTGCAACCTCTTTGGAAAACAACTGGGCAGTTTCTGAAAAAGTGAAACATATGCTTCTGGATGACCTAGCAAGTCCACGTGTAGGTATGTGCCCAAGAGAAAGGAACACAGTTGTCCATGCAAGTGTCTTTCAGTTAGTGATAAGATGAATAAATATCCACACAGTGATAATATCCACTGCAGTGGTAAAAGGGAGCACACGCACACCTCTGAGACATTGCAGGTTCTGATCCAGCACCCCTCCCACCCCACTGCAATAACTTCACTATTGTAGTAAAGCGGTCACACAAATTTTGGGGTTTCCTGGCGCAAGTTATATTTATACTCTATTTAGTCTATGAAGTATGAAATAGCATGATATCTAAGAAATAATGTATATACCTTAATTAAAAGATATTTTATGGGCCTCCCTGGTGGCGCAGGGGTTAAAGACACAGTGCTATTAAGTTATCAGCCACCATTGCAGAACAAGTACAATCCCTGGCCAGGGAGCTACCCACATGGCACAGCAGACCTCTCCTGCCTCACCCGCTGCTCCCCTCAGCAGTGTATTTCTGCTCCCCACTGTTCTGCTCCCCATTCTGTGTACCTCTGGTCTATACCCAGTTCTTATATGCATAAATAAATCTTAAAAAAAAAGTTATTTTATTGCTGGATCACACGAGTCATCAGCAGAGAGACCCCTTGGGAGCAGGGCCCCTACAAGCCTTTCACTTGCACAATATTGGCAGGGTGCAATATCTGCGGGACACGATAAAGTGCTGCGACCTTGAACGAGGTATGCCTGTAAACGCGTGATGGCCTCCACGCCAGGGATGAAGCTCACATCAGTGTGCTAAGGGAGATGCCAGAATCAAAGGCTACAACAGTATGAGCACATCGATAAGACATTTTGGAAGAGGGCCTCCCCGGTGGCGCAGCAGTTGAGCGCTGGGTTGCGAAGCTGCCCACAGCCTCTGCAGCACTGGTTCGATCCCGGGCCACCGGAGGAGGGTCCCACATGGCGCGCAGACCTCTCCTGCCGCCCTCTGCTCCCCTCAGCAGTGTACTTCGGTCCTTCTGCCTGCTCTGCTCCCTGCTCTGGCTCTGGTGAATTCTCTCACCCTCCCGCGCTTCTGACTGTACCCAGTGCTTGTATGTATGTATGTATAAATACATAAATACATAAATACATAAATAAATAAATAAAAATAACTCTTTAAAAAAAAAAAAAGACATTTTGAAAAAGCCAGAGCTATAAAAGCAGGGTTGGGGGTAGGCAGAAAGGCTGACTACAAAACAGGATAAGGGGATTTGGGGTAGTGGGGAGGTTGAAATTGTTTCCTATTTTGATTAGGGTAGAGATTACACAACTTGACTCATACACTAAAAAGCACAGAACTGATTTAAATAAAATTCATCCTCTGTGTAAATCATGTCTTAAAAGAAAAAAAGATGGTTACAATACAGGGGTGAATCTGTATTGTACAAGGGGGTGAGGAAGAAGCAACAGTTAATGCAGGTTCTGGGAAAAGCAAGGAAGGCTTCCTGCGGAGGGGGTGGTCTGGACGCTGAGTCCCATAAAAAGACCAGGGGTGTCAGCTGGACGGGGAGGAGAGAGGGCAGGGCTCCCATGGCCATGGTGGGAAGCGCATGAAGACGCCCTCTCTGGGGCGTGACTCAGTTGGCTGGAGAGATGGGTGTGGGTGCTAGAAGGAGGGCAGGGCTGGATTTATGCAGGACCCGTCTGGTCTTGCCGAGGCTTTGGGACTTAACCTGCTGGGGAGCTGGGGAGCTTTGGGGCGCTGGGGAGCTATCAGAGACCTTAGAGCAGAGGTGGTCTCTGGAGAGATTTCTGTCTTAGAAAATTCATCTGTGGGCAGCAGGAGCTCAGGATGAGGGAACCGTGCTAGAAGCAGCAAGATGGTCAAGCTCTTTCCCTAGGCTTGTGCATTCTTGGCTGAGACATTCTGTCACTCAACAGTCACCAGCTGAACAATGCCTGTGCCAGGCATGGTGAAAGATACAAGAATGGGATTCAAGAATGCACACCCTCCTCCCCAAGACCGAAATCCCTACAGCTCTTACATCCAATGGAAAAGACCATCAACCAGAAACACGTGCACACGATCATTTCAGATGGGGTGAGCGCTTTTTTTTTTTTTGGCAGAAGAACCTTTGTATTTTTTAAAATATTTCATTTTATATAATTCTTACATCACTTTCATCTTTGCACAATGTATGCATTTTCATTTTGGTTATAGTCCCCATAAAATTGCATCTCCCCCTTATTTTGACTCTAGTTCTTCCTCTCCCTAACCCTCCCTCCTCCTTCCCCCCGAAGTGTGTCTCTGGTTTATAGTTGCTTATTGATTTTGATTATTACTTTGTATTGATTAGTCTTTTTCTTGGTCCCTTCTTTCGGTTTTCTAGATCCCTGCTATGAGTGAGACCATCCGGTATTTTTCTTTTTCTTTCTGGCTTATTTCGCTGAGCATGATCCCTTCCAGCACCATCCATGTTGCTGCAAATTGCATGTGTTTCTTTTTTTTGATTGCTGAGTAATATTCCATGGTGTATATGTACCACAGCGCTTTGACTAAGCAGATGACTGCAGTGGGGGAGAAGGGGGTATTTAAATGCGGCCTCCTAGAGGTGACTTCTGATTGGGATCTGCGGAGGGAGAGGGAGGAGTCAGCTAAGTGAGGGGGTGGAGAAGGAACTTCTCAGGCAGCAGGGGTGGCAAGTGCAAAAGCTCTGACCTACTCCAGTCTGAGTCCCTAGAAGAATCCCTGGAAGCCCTGGGCTGGGGGGCAGCTTGCAGCTTGCACTCCTGGGATCGCCACCCCAGCAGAGGAGGGCCAGAGTCTTTCCCTAGGAGCGGCTGTGAGCCTGTCCTCCCAATTTTGGTGAATTACAGTATACAGACAATGCCTGCACCACAGGCAGCTTTCAGCTGAGGCCATCAGGAAGAGAGCCCTTGTGGACAAAATCACCCCAGCCCCAGGGAAAACAGGGGGACTTAGAACACATCTTGGAAGGCCAATCTGAATTTTCTAATTTGAAAAGTGAAAAATAAAACCAGAGCAAGCAAACACATGGTAGTGCCATGACTCATGGGTTACCCGAGTCCTCCCTGGCAGCAGAGCCGCCCCACCCAACTCTGTCCAGGTGCATCACCCCCTGGGCCACACAGCATGCAGGGGACATTCTTCCTGACGCTCAGCATCAGGTCTGAATTAAGCTGCCGACCAGCCACTGAGTCAGACCACCCAGTTGTACAGGGCCAAAATGTCCCGGACAGGGTGCATTCATTTCCTGTGGTTGTTGCAACCAGACCCCACAAGCTGGGAAGGTTAAAATGACAGCGATTTATTCCCAAGTCGTTCAGGGGCAGAAATCAAGCAGGGCTGTTTGTACCTGGAGGAAGGAGGAGAATCTGTCCCGACTTCTCTCCCAGCTTCAGATGGCCTTGCGGTCTCTTGCCTTAGAGACACATCAAGCCAATCTCTGCCTCTGGATACACACCCTTTTCCCTGAGTGTTTCTGTGTCCTCTCCTTTTATAAGGACACCAGTCATTGGATTTAGGG